GCCTGTGACCTGGCCGCTGCTCATCGTGGGATGGGTCTCAGACCCCACCTCCGTCTGCATCAGAAACGTTATGGAAAGGGGTGGACACGCCCCTGGAGCCAGTCTGACCCGAGGGCGGCTCAATTTCTGCAGGACTCGTGTTATCGGAGAAAGTGACGACTAGACTACGGAAGGGAAGGTGCCTATGAAAACGGGAAACACGGTCCGGTGTTGGCACCAACTGTGTGCCTGGCTGTCCTCGGAGCTCAGGACACAGGGATGAGAGAGCGTGGAGGCCTCGCCCCGGCTTGAGCTCGGGTACGGAGTAAGGGACAAGCTGCAAGAACTCGGCAACGACAGGGGTCAGAAAAGGAGGTGGGCTGTGCCCCCCACAGCACAGGACCTTTGACTTTCAACTTGTCCAGGATGCTCCTGGGAGGGCAGCCTCAGCTCATGCCACCCAGGGGCCCACCCATCTGTAGGGCCCGCTGAACGTGGGTGGGCAACTGACTTTTGCATCCGGAGCCCACCACCCTTCCCAGAACAGTGACTCAGTCTGCTCTTAGTTAAGGATTGGCCACGTCATGATCTTGATGTTAGGATATCTTGGATCTCCAACTACAGCAGGAGCAAAGGTGGAGAGGGGGCCAAGCCTGGTGGGCTCAGCGTCTCCTCGTGGATGACCGCCCCATTTACAGATGGGTTCTGAGCACCTTGAAGATTTGCCCAGGCTTCGTGGGGCTGTGGTGGCTAAGACAGTGGTCACCGCGCGCAGGGAGCCCTTTCCTAACCGAGGCTACCCGGATGCTTCCCCGCAGGAGGAACTGACCCCGGCTGGACCGGCTGGTAGCCCCAGATAAGCCCCGGAAAAGCTCCTCGTCTCAAACCAGAACTCGGTTTGAAAATTAAAAAAACAAACCTTTACTTTGTGTTGGTTTTTATTCCTCCACTTAAAAAGTTATTTGAAGAGTAACATGAGCTATTGGAGAGAACCGAAAATGGCACTGACATAGAGGATTGGTCCATATGTTCATGTTTATCCTGGTTATAAATTGTCTTTTTATGATGTTGAAAGCCATGTTGAAATTAGGTCATTTTAAAAGAATTTATTAAAAGGTATTGAAAATGCAGGGCCATGGAGGAAGTAAATGATTCTTTGCCTGAGAGATTTAGAATGGATTTATTTAATTCTGGTAATGGGCTTTGTGACCATGGCGGGCACACGTGGTTCTCTCTTCTGTCTTGGCTCTGGATCTGCACATTAGTGACATCCTTCGCTTACAGCTGTCCTGGGCTAAGGGCTCCTGAGTTTTGGATGGAAGAAGGCTCTTTAGTTTATGCTTGTTCCTCAAGTGTAAAATTCCTCAAGAGGCCTCCACTTCACTGGTTTTCCAGACGCAGAATCCCCAAAAGATAAGTCATTAAATGATTTACTCCTGGTTTAGCCCCTGGCATAGCCCGTCTGCTCTCACACTTTGGTAAATACTAGGTTTCAGGGGCCAGACGCTGGGGACCTGGTCCTAGAACCAACAGGTGATATCTCCATCAGGTGCCCCCTCCCACAGTGGATACCAGCAAATCCAGCCTGGTCATACTTCAAGGCCAGTTTTATACTCTGATTTCTCTGTTTCTAATTTCCATCTTCACGATTTTTTAAGTGTTTTTTTCCCACCTTGTTGGACTTGCAATGGATGCCCTAGGGAGGCAGTTCAAGACGGGGGCAAGGGATGCCAGGCTCACGTTCATGAGTGCCACCCTCCACATGCCCGCTCCATTGCCTCCCCGCCTGATATTCCACAATACTTATTTCATGGGGTTCCTTTCTCGTGATAATAAAAAATCATTCCCCAACTGGAATCCTGAGCTCCAATTATGAAAATTGCTGAGGGGACCATCTGAGGAAGGTCATCTCTTTCTCGCCTCTCCAGGAGAATGTCAGGCCCCTGTGCCACCTCCTGTCTCTCTAAGGGAAACAGCCACCACCCCAAGCCTGGACGCAGCCAGCCAGGGCCACGGCCTCAGGCCACGGCCACAGCCACCCAGCACATGCAGGCACCCTCTCCCCCACCCCCCAACTTGCGGTCTGTGGACCCTCCCAGGCCTGTTTCTCTGCCCTTTCTTTATCTCCAATTATAAAGCAGTGCCAGGTTTTCTCGTCAGCCTTTGCCATGTCTCCAAATGGCTTTTCAGTGTCAGGCCCATCAGGAAATTAACTCATCATGCAGTGACAGCTGCTAATTTTTTCCCCTTACATGTCAGATGGATCGCCTGCTGAAGCTAATAATGAATCACCAATCCCTGATTAGAAGGTGCTTCCGAAACGTATAACTGCCATGCGAGCTAACTTTTTTCTTCATGTAAAATGATATCACCCTAGAGGAGTAGAAAACGAATTGTATTCTTCAACAAGATGGAACAGGAGGAGGTTGCTTAAGTGAGCTGCGTGCGCTCTTAAATTATGGGCTAATATTAAACAGTAAAAGAAGTGAAAACTTACAGCTCTTTTTTTAGTTTGCTAAATGAATGACCTTTCTTGTTCCTTCATTCTCGTTCTAGAACCCACTCTGGTTACAATTCCAAGCTGCTTCATAGTGAATGCTTCTTTTATGCCATTTTTTTTGTTCAGGAAAACAAGTATGATAGAATTGAGGTACAAATGCTGTCCGCTGGCCCTAGAATCTTCCAGATGCTGTGCTGCCAGGTAGTGAGGTCCTTGCCCTTTCTGGGGCATGGTGGGCTGGCGCCACCTGGCCTGCAACAGGCCTTGCTGTGCCCTAAGGTGATCCCCTCATTGCCTGCCTGCTAGTACTTTAACAAGGTTTTTTTTTTTGCTTGACTACACTTTGGTCTGAACCTTCCCCCAGGCCATGTGCCCTTCCTTGTAAAATCTAGTTTTAGCAAGAATCCTGCTAAGTCCATTTAGCTGGACTCCCCACTCTCCCTACATCTCACCCTTGATATCTGATGATCTAATTTCAATGTGGCTTTCTCATCCTCTTACCTCCCCCTAGCAATCCCCACCCCCAGCCATGTGATGTCTGATGGCCCTGACCTGCCTTCAGCAAGAATCCTGTCAGATGGGCTCAGCCAGAATCTCTCTTCCTTCTTGAAGAAATCTTCCATCTACCAGCACCCACCCCATTCACTCCTCAGCTGGAAATCCTCACTTGCTCTGTGTTCAGAACTGAACCCAGTTCTGTACCAGACCTTTTCCCCCCTCTTGCAGCTGTCTGATGTCTGGTTTGCCTCCGCAGCCACTGTCTGGCTCTTGTTTTTCTTTGTCACTTTGGGGTCCCCCCTTCTGAACTGAGCTGATAAATGACAATGGAATATTCAGCGCTAAATCTCAGCACCTTTGCTTGGTTCTTCAAAGCAAACCAAGTAGCAAAAAGGATGTTCTCTGCCCCAGGTGATGTGGGTTTGCTAGTTTTGTGCTGGGGTGAGAGTGGGGATGTTTAAGGTGAGCATCCTCCTTCTTTGAGGCCAGCTGTTCAGCGAGGCCCGAGGCTTCCCAGAACGAGGCTGTTTGAGTCACACTTTCCTGAAAGTGACCCTGTGCAGCTAAAACCTTTTCTGTATGGAAACTGCTGTCTTCCACCAATTGTCCACTATGTCTAGAGATCCTTCCCTCCTGCCATGGGAGTTTCTGTGCACTGACTTGGGCAACTTTATCTTCTTTGCAGGCCAAACGACCTGGAACCTCAACCATTTACTTGGCTGCAGCTTAACAAAAATGTGGCCTTCCTGGATAGCAGTCCCCAGAAAAAATTTCATTTGCTTCTTCAAAGTTCTATCATACTCTCTGGGAAAAACCACTAGGAAAGCCACATGCTCGCCTGTGTCTTCTTTATAGACAATCCATGCTGCAATGGATGTCCCCTACTCACAAAACCCGCTATGCCTCATTATTCTGTGGCATACATTTGTGTATGTGTTTCTCAACCCCCCTGCATTCCAATAGTTGTGTAATGAGAGAGAAAGAGAGGTAACATTAACCTAGCTCTATAGGTAATTACAGGATACAATAGCTTAGTGAAACCTTTGCAATCCTTCTGAGCCTAGAAACACCTTCTGTACAATTTTTTTATGCAAAGGCCTGCTCTTTTCATTGTGCATACAACGTGATTGCTGGTTTGACACTGCAGGCTACACTGGTTTTATGAAGGATTAAATGCCACCTGAGACATATTTATCCTAAATAAATCACAAACGGTAAACTGCAGCATGTCAGTGTCAACACCCTGGACTGTAACAGAAAGGTTAGCCATACAGGACTAAGCACGGGTAGGAATTAGCATCTGAGCCGAAGACTGCGGGGCTACCGCTCACGGGAGGAATGATCAAGAAGAAATATTTCCACTGAAAAACATCCCCCCCCCCATCTTTTTAAAACATGTATGAGAAGCCTGGAGAGGGCCATCACTTTGTAAAGGTCACCTTGATCCTGGTAACAAACGGGAGTTGATCCTGTCACTGTTTGCTGGAGACAGTGTCAAAGAAGAACAGAATAGCCCTGCCATTTTTTAAGAAACATGAGCAAGTCTCACTAGCTAATTATGGACCTCAGTGTCAACCTTGAGACTTTACCTTTCATTTTGTATTTTTTTGGAGGGGTGGCTGTGAGCAAGGTGGTGGCCCTAGAATGGACAGGACTCAAAGCCACCTGAGACATCAGGCAGCGCATCAGGAAGAGCACAGTTCAGCATCCCAGTGAGGCTGGTACATGTTCTCCAGGGAGAGATTTCCCACCCCGGCTCCCATTGAAACAAAGAAGGCACTGCTCTCCATTCCTCTCATGTCAGCTTGCTATGATTTTAGATGCTAACCATGTTAGAATATGTTATTGTCACCAGAACATGCCTGGATCATTTGCCAAACATTCAGAAACAGGACTAGGCTGCGGGGGCAATGGTGGAGTCAGCATCATCCGGAGGGGGTGGGGGAGAGGCTGCCGGCCAAGGCCGCCAGGGCTCCCTTGGCATCACAGCTGCGCGCTGGCTGCTGAAAAGAACAAGCCACCATTAGCGTTTAATGCGATAATTTTATTTCAAAGAAAAACAGAACAAAAACAACCTTTGCGTTTGAGGAAGGGGATTATTTTACAATTTTGGAACAGAAGTAAGAGCAATCATATCAAGAAACAAAGTATTGCAACATAAACTTGCATCAATGGTTACAGTGAAGCCACACACAACACAGATGATGGCAGTCGAGGCCAGGGCTGCGGTGTGTTCATGTTTAGTGTCAGCTTCATCAGATTGACGTCACATATCAATCCTACAAAAATGGTATCAGTACGACAAACATTTGTTATAAAAAGCAAAATATTGATAGGAACAGTATCTTCCAGAGTGCACATTTCATATATAGACTTTTATTGTATGAAACTAAGTCAAAATTAGAAGCATTGGGTTGCCTTAACCAAGATCTATTTTAATTGAATACAAACGTCAAGGCTTTTCTCAACCATGGACTTCAGAAGACGTCTTTTATGCAGAATGGGACCAGAGCAGTGAATACACCTAAATGTCTGAGGAGAGGAAATTCCTACATGAAATGCACTACCAGGCGTCCTTTGGTCTGGGGACACTGTGACTCAAATCAAAAGAATGAATGGGAGTAGACTGTTTCAAGACAGTAATGGTTGTAGCTGCATTTTTTAAACAAAATATAGAATAAAATTTGAGAGCAGCTACATGCTAGACTGCAAGAGCAGATGTGCCCCAAGCCACAGGAAACATTTTTATCACTTTTCCACCATGGGCCACAGTCTTCTGATAACTGAGATGGGAAAACACTTGTGAGAGAAAAACAAAAACCAGATGACACTTGGCTTCTCCTCAGCATGATGGCCAGGACAGAGGGGCTACCAGCAAGGGCTCACAGTGAGCAGGCCTGATCAGCCGGCCCAGCCCTTGTCCCTGCACCCAGCTACTGTCTTCCCAGGCCCATTGCATGGTGTCCTTGGTGGGGGCTTTTTTGGTGGATGGTGTCACCTCGTGGGGAGTGTACACTTAGTGCTCATGGGAAGTCACATCCTCACTGTTTTGAAGGTTGACAAATGAAATGAAGCCCAGGCCTTCAGTGCCCGCATGAGCTAGGTCTTCCCACATGTGCCCTGTGCACATGCCAAAGTGCTATCTCACGCTTCCTGGAGCTCGCTGCTCTCTCTTTGGCTCTGAATCACTGCCGCAGCTGGTGAGCCCTCCTGGGTGTAGATGACCATGCTGGTCAGCTGCTCTGTCCCGCCCGGGGCCCCGGCCTCAGTGCTCAGTGCAGCCCCAGCCTGCAGGAGCTCCTGAGGGTCCGCCTCAATCACAGTGTGGGAGTACACACCTGCGTCCTGTGTGCCTGGGGGCAGTTCTGTCACAATGTAATGTGTGGCACCCTCGGGGAAGCCACTACTGGACTCCCGCACCATGGCCTGCACCAGCTCCTCGGTCACAATGATCTGTGAGATCTCCCCGTCGGACTCCACCAGGTCCACACGCTCACCTGGCACCCGTAGGCCGTGCGCCTCTGCCTCCTGCATGATGATCTGGGAGCCCTCCCCGGCCACCATGTGGACGGCGCCCTCCTCATTAACGATGACCTGTGTGACACCATCCTTGAGCAGCTGGCCAGCTGAGGCTGTGTCACACATGGCAAACTGGAGGACACCCTGCACCATCTTCTTGAAGGCCACCTGCGTGCGCTCCTGGGAGGTGATGACGGCTGAGGGACGCATGACCTGGGTCAGCACCTCCACGGCTTCTGGGCCCTCCTGGGCGTCCTGGAACACCTGGATCTCAGGGGCCTCAGGGTCAGCGGCTGTGCGGGAGGCCTCCTGCCCTGGCAGCTGGATGAGCACGTCCTTGTGGCTGGGCCTACCCTGCTCTTCTGGCCCAGGCCTGCCCTCCACCTCGCCCAGTTCAGTGACGGCACACAGTAAAGCATCAAGGGCCGAGGACGCGTCGGCTGTAGGGACCCCAGACTCCGAGAGGTTCAGAATCTCCTGCTTGGTCACTTGTTGGATCACAGCGCCGCCTGCACCCAGGGGTTCGTCCATGCTGGGACCTTCCACGGAGCCCCCCATGACAACCACCTGGGTGGCTCCATCTGCCAGTTGCTCGGGGAGGATGGGCCCAGGCACCATGCTGCCCACATGCGCCCCACTCTGGCTCGTGGCGATGACCTGCCCGTCCTCTGTGATGTGTACCACCCGAGCCACCTGGCCGGCCATGGCCAACGTCTGCAGCGTGGCGGCTGCCGTCTCTTCCACCGAGGCATCCAGGGCGAAATCCCCATCATAGCCCTGGATGATGATGACCTGCTGCACCTGCTCAGAGGGTGGCACTGGCCTCCTGCCACTCCGCAGAGGCTTCTCCTTGACTGCAGCCTCCTCGGCCAGCGCCACTGCGGTGAAGGGGCTGTCCGTCTCCACGAAGGTAGCACCTTGTCCCTTCAGACGACACTCGTAGGACTTGGAAACGATGCCTAGAGGAGACAGGGACCAGTTAGAGCCAAGGAAAAAGACTTCAGGCTTACAAGTAAGACAGTCCTCTGTAGAAGCCAGTGGCCCCCACAGAATGTGGTGAACCACTGTCCAGAAGGGCTGGGAGCTCTGGATGGTGGGCTCCTTAGCGGGCCTGGCATTTCCATGGATGCCTGCCTGTGGGCTATGGGGTATCACAGGTTTGAGAACACACACTTCTGGGGGGAGCTGCCCACATGGGACTCTGGACAAGTGTGCACTTCACTAGTGAACCTTGGGGGATGGGAACTCCCCCAACTCTTGGTGTTTCTAACAATAGATCCAGCAATCGGGGTAAGCAAAGTTCAGCAAATAGCCAGGCAGGATCTTCTAACCTGAAGGAAAATCTTTTTTTAATGACCAAATATGATATAAGGTATATCTGTTTACCCAACAAAAAGAATAAAAGTCTTTCATATTAAATTTTTTAAAACGTCATCAGTAAACACAGCTCTAAGAGTTTAGTGCAACAAATATCTGATGAGCGTCTGCTATGTGCCAGGCACCACCCTAGGTGAAAAGGCAGCCCCACGGGGCACAGCAAGTCACTCTGTGCCTGGCACCATGTGTGGTACTCTGTAGGGTTCTGGGCACAGACAGATGTGGGGTTGTAGAGAGGCTGATGGTGCAAAACTGGGCAGGGGGCTCTAGGGAGACGAAGAGGGGTCTACAGTGCAGAACCAGACAGGGAGATTCAGGGGCCTGGACTCTGCCTTCCTCCTGTTTGTCCCTCTCTGACTCGTACAGTACGCGGCACGAAGCAAACACTCAACAAAGATGTGTTTGCTGAATGACTTGGATACAATCCAAAGTGGCAATTACAACCATAGAGACAAGCCACACCTTCAGGCTACATGACAAAATACTCAGGAAAGATCTCAACCAGAGACCTCATCCAGACCCTGTGCTAGGGGAGAGCATTCCAGCCATCTCTTGAGGCTGGAGGATAAAGGGTCTCCCAGATAGAAGCAGCAACAGCCCAGGAAGAGGCAAGAGGGCTTGACCATCTTCATGGCATCGGAAGGCTGAAGGCCAGGCTTCTAGGAGCCTTCATTTCATCACGGGTTGCTCAAGGCCTCCCACACCCTGCACTAAGGGGCTTGGGCCATGGGTTGTGGGCCATGGATGGAGGGAACTGTTGAACGTTTTTAGTAGGAAAATTGTGGAACAGGAAAGGAAGGCACACAATTTATGACTTTCAATGCCAGCCTCAATTCCCTAGGGAAAACACTGTGATCCTCTAGAAAATACCAGGACAAGCCCCTAGGGACATGGGCAGAGGCGATAGGAGAGAGCAGGAGAGGAGACACGAAAGGAATGACAAGGCGAGACCATGACAGGGAACTGGGGAATCCCCTGGTCTGGGGTTTGCAGAGGCTAGAAAGGGCCGCCCACCGGCCTGCACCATACTCTTCACCGTCTGACCTTTGTCAACTGCACACCAAAGTGAGTGGTAGAGGGATAATGAAGCCCTGGCCTGCCGCAGGAAGAACATCGAGCCCATCTTAGAGCTCAGGGCCAGGGCTTGAGCTGCCACCTGTGCCACCAAGAAAACTCTGGCAGCAGCATGAAGAGGCCAGCAAGGGCAAAAGGGGGATGGGGTGCTCACATCTGCAGCCCAGGGAAGTGCCTGCTGCTCCTTCACTCCACGGGACAAAAGCGGACTGGACACAGTCATCTTTGTTTTAACAAAACAGAGGTGGAGTCTTTAAATGGAGCTCCTGTTTTCTTCTCTAAATCCCCAATGTGCTGTCAGTCTTATCGCCCCATCCCTCCTAGGTAGGAGAATGATCTATACGTGATCTCTGTTGAAAGTTCCTGCATCTCAAGGGCACCCACATTTTTTTTTGAGACACTCCACTTCACTCTCTTCAATGTGTGTCACTTTTAAAAACAAATTTTATTATAAAGATGTAGGATACAATTCAGGGTTAGGTATACAAACATTGATCATGCAGGTACCCCTGTTAATGAGGTATGCCCCTCCCTCTGCTAGCAGTTTCCCTCAATTGCCAATCCCATCCTCCACCAACAGTTTCCCATTACTGCCAATCACTTTCTTATAGCATTATAATTGTTCAAGGTCCTCTTATGAATGAGAACATATGGAACTCTGTTCTTCGTTTCTATGATAAATCACTGAGTATGATAGACTCCGAATTCATCCAGGTTGCTGCAAAGTCCATGAAAAAGTGTTCAGCCTCACTCATCATCAGAGAAATGCAAATCAAAACAACACTGAGATACCACCTAACCCCTGTAAGAATGGTCATCCAAACAACAGATAAACCAAACAACAACAGATGCTGGCGAGGATGTGGAGAAAAGGAATGCTTCTACACTGCTGGTAGGAATGCAAACTTGTACAACCTCTCTGGAAAACAGTCTGCAGATTTCTGAAAGAAGTAGAAATTGACCTTCTGTATGACCCAGCAATTCCCCTACTGGGAACATACCTGGAGGAACTCAAATTATTCTACAAAGAAGATACCTGCATACGAATGTTTATTGCAGCTCTATTCACGATAGCAAAAACATGGAACCAACCATGTTGCCCACTGAAGCTGGACTGGATAAAAAAATGTGGTACATATATACAATGGAATATTATGCAGCCATAAAGAACACTTTTTTAAAAAGAGCATACTTTGTCTTTACCAAAGGAGGAAAAAAGATGAAGAATTGTCAGAGTATTTATTGCTATTGTCCCTAAAAATAAGAACAACTTTGCTACCATGTTGGTGTCGTTCTGCAAAAACGCATTTCTTTCAATACCAAGTTCATCCTGATCACAGACGCCAGACAAGGGAGGCCTGTCTTCTAGTGAGTACATTTCAGACAGGAGTGGAAGAAACTATTAAATCCTACTTACCAAGAGGACATATCCTAGCTCTTATCCATACTGTAGGACAGTGGTCATGGATTTGAAAGTATTAACTATTTAAGTATTAATTGACATGTATTCTTAATCAGGGAACTTTCTATAGTGTGACTCTTAGAAAGGTTATGGAAACAGAATCTTTAGTCAAGAAAAGGCCTGCAAAGTCAACCAGGAGACTCATTCTTTGCCTACGGAAACTCCCAGGAGACTCATTCTTTGCCTACGGAACTCCAGGATAAGCAGAGGTGGTCAGGCTAGTGTCTGGCAGGGACAAATCAGGTCTGGCCTTGCCCTCATGAGCAGGTAGAGGAAACACCCACATCCGTCTCAAAGGCCAACTCAGCCTTTCTGGAAGGTCCAACATGTTCATGAGTCCCACTATACCAATTTCGGAATGGCAGTGCACCTCTGTTTTCTCTTAGTCACTCTCTAGTGAGGATGGAGAACAGCTGGGTACCACTAAACCAGGCAGCTAGCTAAAACTACATGCCTCAGCAAGTAAGCAATTATCGAAGGCTACTTTGTGATGCTTACTGGTAGCAGTCGCAGGTGGTTTAACTGCCCATGGGGGCCTTGAAGACTTTCCAGAGGTCACATGCACATGTGGAGGGTTTCCACGGAACCACTCCAGTGTGTTTGGGTGGATCTGCCAGGGAATGTGCCTGGGTTCAGAGCTCCTTACCTCACCCTTATCCTCCTCCTGCTTTACAAAAAAGAAACAACTCTGCACTCATCCTGGCCTGGTGTTCTGCCCCAGGGAAGATCAGAGTACAGAAGATAAGCATGGGATTAGGGTAAGCATGAAGATCCTGGGAGGAAAGGGTTAAATTACCTTCTGTCTGCTTTAACCGAATCCCCTGGTTATCATTTGAACTTTGATCCTCCCTAAATCTCTCTCCTCAAAGAGGTCAACAGGCTTGATGAGGGTGGAGCACCATAGAGCTCCCAGATCCACACTTCATTTATGCCTGAGTTTAAGCTGGGCATGGTCAATCTGCCATGCACTAGGACCTCGAGATCTCTGTCTACTGTACTTGACAAATTCTTGCTCTGGTATGCTTGCAATTTCTCTCCCCACCCCTTCTTTTCTACATAGGATGCAATATTCTGCTTGCCTTCTTTACACTCTAAACTTGATTTGTGTCTGTCCATCCTCTAATTTCAGGGTCACTTTTAGTATAATTCAGAATTTTTCTTATAAAAGAAAGTAAGACTTTTAAGAATTTTTCTTATAAAAGAAAATAAGACTTAAAAAAGGGGCAGCCTTCAAGTCATTCCCCTCCCCCATCGCTTTTAATTATAGAAAAGGACACACAGCCAGTATGCAAAAAACAGGAGAAACTATGGTAGATGGGAAAGAAAGAACATACACCCTATTCTTAGAAAGCCTCTGGAAGAAATGCGATGTGCTCGAGTCCAAGCAATTTCGTTCTTTACTTTGCAACTGGACAGAAAATCTCATGGGTATCGAATTATTCTGTGAATCCCTTGCAGCACTGATAATTATGCTATTCTGAACTATGTACTGAATTTATTTGAATCCAGAGGTGGGTTAAGCCACTTCCAGACCATTAAAGTAAACTACATGGGTAAATACTGCTGTCAGCACAGGGTGTGATGGGGCTTAACAGCACCAACGTCTTAACCTCCACGCACGCATGGGCCCAGCTAGTCCATCAGAGTTCATAAATGCGAGTGCAGGTTCATCTTTTGATTCAGCAATTTAATAACTTCGAGTGCTGTCAGTACTGCTTTGAAAAATAGCACCTATAAAATGTAACAGCCTCAATCAGATTGAAAAAGATTCACCCACTGAAGATTCTTCCATTTCAACCATAATGAATTAATGTTGAGCTATGTAGAAGTTCAAGTGTCATTTAAACTAATGTGAATCTCGACTGTAACTTTAAATTCTAACTGGGCTATGACCAAGGATTTACTGGGCACATCCACTTCCATTTTTGAGCTCTGTCTAGTAAATATGAACTGTAAAATTCCCCAATGCAAATGGCCAAATGGATCTGGTATCTGGCAAACAGGAATGTCGCACAGGTTTTACCATTAACTGCTTAGTCACTGTTG